CTTCAAGTGTTCATGGCAATACTTAAACATTTAAAGAAATGTGATGTGGACTGAGAGAAACAAACTAAGGATATTATTTTTGAAATGTACAATTATACACTGAGTGTAAAATCTCAGGGTTGTTAGCTACCTTCTTCCGGGCTGGAGGTGGAGAGGATAAACTTCAGTTGCGATAGCTTGGAAGAGGCTATGTTTTTAAAGTGTCATTATGCTGTTATTTGTTTAGTAGGTGAACCTGCAGCAAGCAAAGAGATAGCACGAGGGGTAAGACTGATGTGTTCCCAAAGCTTCCTGCAGTATCTGTCGAGGCAGGGTGCTAGCCAGAAAGTTACTGGCATTTCAGGGCATTTCCCAAGGGCAGGAAAATGACTGGCAGAGGAGAGGTATTACCTTTGCCGTATGTTGCCCAGCATACAGACATCTGAGTTCAGCTATTCTCTGCAGCCTGGACCAGCGTAATGCACCACAGGATAAAAGCTCTATTAAAGTTTGGAATTTTTCTTAATTGTACCAAGAATATAAATCTTCAGGCTCCCCCTTTACCCCAAATCCAGCATTTTGGCCAGGAAGCAAGCTATGGTATGTCAGCCCCTGGTGACCCTCATATTGTATCTTGCCTCTCAGTCTTAAGACAAATCTCACCACAGAGGGGAGATTAGAATAGCAAATTATATTTGGAGAAGAGATGAGAATGAAGAGTTACAGCTTTGAAATATTTTCTCCACTGCACTTCATGTGGCTTAAGCATCTCTTTTTCCCTCCCTCCTCTGATCACTTCCTTCCCTGCAGCATTTGCTGCAGGTCTCTGTGAGACTCTTGATCTGCAGCCACTGCTCCCATTCCCGCCACGTACTCTGTTGCCAGTCTGATACCTTCCTCCTCTTCCCTGACACCTAATGAAAAGGATGAGGCTTTGAGGTGCACAAGTGCCAAAGCAGACAAAAGGGAGAGGTCTGCCCTGACCCAACCCTGCCCTCCCACCATCGTTCTGCATAAAAGCAAAAGGCCCGAGCTGCCAGCTAACCCAGTACAGACACAGGAATCTCAGCAGGACATGTAACCCAACTTCATTCATTGTACAGTTGAATAAAAACCCATCAATTCTGAATTAAAATCTTCCAGACCACTGGTCCAGAGAAGGGCATGCCAACTGGTGCAGATTTGATGGCTTTTGTCCAAAACGCAGATTCCAATTTGCTCGTCGGAGAGGTGTGAGGAAGTTTCCCAGAGGAATACTTGTCCTGCTGCAGTGCAGCAATAAAACTTCTAAAATTTCTGTAGTTTCATTCTCAGCCAGGGCTGCATCACCAATATTTAATTCAGAATGCTAAAGTCACTTTTTCCAATGATCCCAATGAAATATGGCCTGTTCTGGGCACTGCTGTCCTCTCTTTCCCATATACTTCTCCCAGCTATAGGTAATCAGGCCAAGTCAGAACAAGGATGAGTAACAACAGGCTCTTCCAAATAGCTTTTTCTTAGAAGATCAAGGCTATGAAGTCAGGCCAATGTCACCCACAGTCCTATGCACAGAGTCCCAGCAAAAAAGAAAGCAAGAGGGTTGGAACCAGAAGGACCCTTATCCTGGCTCAGAGTCGTGGCATCGATGGCTTGGCTGGACAGGTTAGAATCGAGGAGCTCCATAATCATCTGGCATCCTCTCAATATTGTACCTAAGAAAGAAAGAGGCAAAACCCATGAAGACAACCTATTCCACATTGCTCCTCTCCCCATGCAGCAACAGCCTTACAGGCAAGACTGAAGAGCAAGAAGCTTTGTTGCATTTCTATCTGCAGCTCAGAAGAAAAATACGACTTCTGCAAGTGAAAAGCCTTGGTAAGGTTGCTGTTATCCTTCACCTCAAACTCGGAAATCAGGCATCTCAAAAACTCACCATCCATCTCCAGAGAAGGAAAAAAATGGTGGTTTTGTAAGATCTGACTTAGGATTTAAGAACAGACCACCACAAAGAATAAAATTTTGGCCATTCAACTTATGACTGATGGCCACAGTGAATAAGGGGCAAAGAAGTTTTGAGAGAAAAATCTTCTGAGCCACATTCTAATTACAGGTAAGACTTTACATATTTATAGCAATCAATCTAATTTCTGACATACTGCTCTGTGTATAAGTCTCCACTGCTAGCACAACTGCCTCCTTTCCAGTATCCCTCCCATCCCACCTAAAGACTTTAGTCCTTCTCTCTCCACGCCCTCACTTGTCTCCTTACCACACCACCAAACATATCTACCGTACTGTGAAACAATTTAGCATAGGTTCTATGCAAGAGAAGTCTTCTGGGCTGTACATTATGTAGAAGAAATATTAAAACACTGGATATGACAAACAGAGGTGAGTGAAGTCTTAGTCTAGGCTTTATAAGTGCTTTGGAAAGAACAAGAAATTAATTTAAGTAAATGTTTTTACAGTAGATCACTGGTCCTATTGCATATATATATATAAAATAAAATAGTGAGCCGGTACTTGCAGATAGTGGAAAAATCTGTTGCATTGAAATTGCTGCACTAGCATCCGTCTGAATTGGTTTGTTTTTTATCTAAGAAGCAAATTCAATCTCTTAGCTGAGGGCACACAAAGCTACCAACTATAATATGGAACAAGAATAGTTCTTTTCCTCAAGAACCTGTAGAATGCATTTGCCTGGTAGTTGTACTGCTGCTGCTGGTAAGCAGCACTGATCTATGGAAACACTGGCCTCAAGGAAACTAGTTTTCCAGGTAAAAGCAAATAAAACATGTAGACTGCAATAAAGCAAATGAACATATAGACTGGTCTGCGACCAGTCTCTTCCCAGCAGCAGCTGTGCTTCTACTTTTGTGCAAATGCTAGGCCCTTTACTACAACCTGCACTACAATGGCAGGAGAGACGTACACAGTGATAGAGTCCCGGTCAGACACGGATTCTGCCAGGCAGTGTTCCTCCCCGCCAAAGGTCCCTTACCTGTGCCTGGAAATATACATTATAGGCACTCCTGGGATTTTTCGAATCCTCCGCTTGAGCTCTTTATCCACCGTGGCCACAATGTAACATTTGTGCTGCAAAAAAAAGAGGCGAGTCAGGTTCAACACCAGTGAATCCGCAGAAAGGAGACAAAGCTGAGCAAAAGCTTCTATTCAGTGAACTCGTTTAACGTAAGAGGCCTATGAGCCTAAGTGAGGCATTACTAGCGCTTGTACAGAACTCCACAGCAGACTAGTAACTTCCTTCCGCTCATCAAGAGAGACTCGTAGAAACATCCAAAGGCTGTCCAGCCTTCCCAGCTTTCCCATCCTAAGTGCTCCTTGATGCTGTCCTATACAACAAGAACGGTCAGGGAAGACTACACCTTGCTTCAAATAAAGTAGTGCTAGGGACTGAAACTGCCCCTAAGTGAGATTTCACAGTTAATCTGCGGGAAATTGAAGTCATCAGTAACCAGGAGGGTTCAGAAATTTTTTGTATGTTGGCACAGTACAGAAAATTTCGGAAACAGAAATACCTGAGTGACCCTCTGTACCAAGCAGTCATCTGCATAGGTTCCTTTGTGCATACATGGCAAGCGTTCAAACCGAGGGTCCTTGGCAATTCTGTGGGGACATGGAAGGCAGTGTGACAGCAATCAGACCAGCGTGTACAGCGACACAGTATGGAGGAACAGGAACACCCCTTTCTATGATAGGCAGCACGTGATTCTCAAAACAAGGGCTGAAGGGAGGGAGCGAATGGTACACAGCAGTCAATTGAAATGAGAGGCAAAAAAAGAATGCAATTTGTCTGGCTAATTATTATAGGTTAAGTATTTCTTAGTACTTGTTAGTTGGGTTCAAGATCCCCAAGATGTTAGGCTCTTGCGGGAAGAACTAGAACAACTTCTAGTATTTGATCTTTCGCACCATACATACATACAGGAACACTTCCACCTCCTCTCTGAAGGGGAACATCAAAGCTGTTTAGGGGATGTGCTTGGATAGTTTACAACACAACAGGACAAATTAAAAAGTAAAGAACAGTATGTTTGACTGGTATGCCCGGAGAGCACGAACTACATTGGACTAGTTTTGTACAGATCACACAATAACTTGCGTCTAGATTATCAGTACATGCTGCCTACTCCTACAGTAATAACGTGAAGTTCCATAAGACTTGGGTCATTGCTTTATTTTTAGAAGTTTCTCTAATTAAAAAAAACCCCTATATATATATTTTGAGAAACAGGACGAAGCATTATTTTGAAAGTCTTAGGGCGAAACAAAGATTTACAGATCGATATTGTGAGCTCATACCTAAGATTTAGTCTTTAAAAAAAAATTATCTAAAACTCGAGCCAACTTACTGATCTCACACAGCCAGAGAAATGAAACCAAGTTTGGGACTCTGCAACAACCTAACCATCCTCTAGTGTGAGAGCACCGTCATGGAAAGTGCTTTTCATTTATTTATATTAAAACATTACGTTCTAGAAATGGAGAACACCCTGCGCCTACCTTAATGCCACACGGTACTTCTGTCCTAACTTCTCAATTTCACCCATTACACAATCTGTGATACATGGAATACCTACAGGCAGAAAAAAGCCCATATTAAAACCAAGCAGTATTTCTTTACAGACCCCTACAGTATTGCCCATATACCCAGGAACTATCATGAAAGTCTGTAACATATCACTTACAGTTTTAAATATATGAGAACTGATAAGGCTGCAAAGTGACCAAACGTAGAGCCATTGAGTTTGACCATGCCATGGTAATTTTAGATTTTTAAGTTCCTGATGCTTTACCTTTGTTGACATTAGCATTTAAGACCGTTGTTTGACTGAAACCAAATACAGTTCCAGGGTTACCATAGCCACCAATGATCAGCTCAATGATTATAGCATGTACATTTATTTCAAGATTTCTGTTATTCTTGGCTATTGCTACGAGGCCAATAAAGCCCATCATAAGCACACCGTGGCACTACGTGGTCCAGAAGCAGCTGCGACACTCACACTTGGCATAGAGACAGTCCATCATTGACTGCACTAGGTCCAGCTTGGCCTTGATGGAGAAGTTGATGAAGTTAGTGTCAACCAGGATGTGGTAAGGGGGGCCCAACTGCGTATTATACTGGAAGAACAAACAAGAGGGGTGCTGGGGGCTGCCAGGAAGACAAAGAATTCAAGTCAGTTAATTGCAATTAACAACATAGCCAATCTTACAACTCACACAGAACAAAGGAAGGGTAATGAGCAGAAACAACACAAGGCAGCGTGGGAGGGTGACCCGTCAGGCCTCCCAGGCCCAATCCCTTCGATTGGGCACCAGTTCCTGCTCTGACAGCTTTGCTCAGAAATGCCCTTGGTCACAGCCTGCAGCCCGGCCGCCCCCCTCTCCTCCTTTCCCTCCCTCCCCCCTCCCGCCCAAAGCGTCGGCAGCACTTACACCTCCCGCTCCTTGATGGCACTCGGGTCCTCCTTCTTCTTCACGGGGGCTTTCGCCCGGTCCTTCTCGTTACTGCAAGGAAAACACAGGCACTCCTAGAGGGGGGCAACAGGGAAGGGAGGCCAGCGGCGGAGAGGCCTGGGCCGGGATCCCCTCCCGACTGGGACACGGGGGCGGCCAGCCCTGCGCGGCCGGCCCCAGGGCCCCGCCCGCGACAGCCCCCAGTCGCGGCCGCACC